CAACAGCTATCGGTTATCGCGTTCGTGTCCGACTAGGCAGCCTCTTAGGGAAGCAAGAGAATGGAGAGATCGACCGAAGCCTGAAGGCTGTTCTCTCCTACTGCAACTGTAGTCCCGGCCGTCTGCTGTTAGTGGAAAAGAGGTTGCCGACCGTGCCAACGCCTAAGCGAGGCGGGGTAGGAAGAGGAGAAACACCACGAAGATGAAGGACCCCAACCAGGGATGGAACCGAGAGAGTCAAGAAGTAAATCAGGACCTCAAGGGAGAGGGGAAGCGGGCCCACCTCCTGTAGCCGAGGCTAGATGGAGGGAGATGGGGGGGGGTGGTGGTGCTAGACGATGAAAGCCACGATAGTAACCGTGGTGTTGAGTTTTCAATCGCCGGAGGTGTAGCGGAGACGGAGGATGCGTAGCGGAGACGGAGGATGGCTTAAAGCTAGGGAGGCACCTCGATATTTATATTCCGCGTCTGGGTGGTCGTGGCCTGCATTCAATCCCTTACTGACTATGTACCTGCCATACTAACGCTTCAGTGTCCTTGGAGTGTGAACTCCGTTTGACCCTGAAAACTAACTTCCCCGCTCTCCTCCTGAGTGGAGTGATCAGCTCCGTCAAAGGACTTATCAATGACTCTTCTATGTGCATAGCTTAGAGTACATGACGAAGATAACTAACTCGACCATTGAGTTGTTATTAACCAATCGTAACTAGGTCTTCCGGATGACTCTAGCTTACGCGAGCTGAAGGGACATGCATATTACTTTTTGTAATTGCATATAGACTTGTAGTGGTCGTAGCTCAATAAGTAACCGACCAATCTGAACCACCTAAGTCTTATCTTGTAGAGCGGAGCTCCTTCTATGTTATCCAGCGAAAACCCCTCGGTTGCATACCTCGTATCTCCGCGGAGCGGGCTGCATAGATGCCTTGTCATATCGTGCGCTAATATCTTAGCGCTACAAATATTATGGCGGGGCCCGGAGTCGAACACGTGACCTTATGCATTTAGTTACGTGCCACACCTATTACGCTATTATGTGTAACACCTATATCTTCTTCCAGCTAGTGATTTAGCTGTTGATGAGATGATGATTCGGGTTACGGGCCGTTCTGCGCATACAACCCAAATTCGCGGAAAGCCAATTCCAAAAGGTTACAAAGTACTTGCACTTTGTGACCATGGCTATACCTATGGCTTTTTATTTACAAGTAATACCGAGTCTTTCGCAGAGCTAAATCCAAATATCTATTCCGGTCCATTACGATTGAGTCCGACCTCAAGAGCAGTTTACCAACTTGCTAGCCTGCTTCCCTCTGATCGGTTTAGTTTTACTATCTATATGGATAATTATTTCACTAATATTCCCCTTCTCTCCGCACTCAGAGACAAGAAGATAGGGGCCTGTGGTACTGCCCGATGCAGCTCAGCTGAATATCCATGTATTTTTAAATTTCCAAAAGGTTCAAAACCTACCTTTCCACTAAATACCATCTCAGGTGTGGTTATCTGGGAAGTATTAGTTTGCCTTTGGCAAGATAATAACCTGGTATGATTTATGAGTACAGTCCATCAGATCACTAATGAGCCTTCCAATTATCTGGTTAAACAGCGCCGCTGGCCACGAGTCAGCAATACCAACCAACAAAATATAGTAACTGTATTTGGGTCTGAAGTATTTGCTTCATTGCCAACTCCCAAATTGGCAATTGACTACAATATGAAGATGAACGCGGTTGATATAGCAGATCAATACAGGAGCTATTATTCTACTCAGCTCCGAGTTTCCAGAGTCTGGATGCCAGTTTTCTTTTGGTTGTTAGACACTACTGTCATCAATTCATAGTGTTTAGCAAAAGCCTCCCCCACTCTTTCACAGTCCGGGACGAATAGTATTCATATTCACCGAAACTTCCGCATTCAGCTTGCCCATAGCCTTGCTTCTGAGGGCTTTGAGGTTCTTAATCCGATTCGCGCAACCCAGGTACACATGATTCTCAGCACATCCCCACCTATTTTCCGCTCTACTGGTCGATTCTACCCTAATGCTATACCTTCCGGGAATAATAGCCTTAGTAGACATCCTGGTTTGCTCCCCCCCCTGTTTCCTTGTTATTTGCCTCCCTCCTGGCACTCTTTCTGTCTTTTTTTTTTTTTTTTTTCCATTCAACTAATTATCTGCTTCTTGAAAGGTTATGTTACCAAGAACACCGAGCTTCCCCCCTCTCGGAAGTGTTCCACCGGTACTCCTCATCGCTTGATACGAGATCCAAAGAAGAAGCAAGCTCTCTGCTTTTTCTGCCGTTATATTAAAAAAGGTGGAGCACTTTCAGACACCAGCCGTCAAGCCTGGAATTCACGTATTAAAAAGGGCAATTTTACTGCTTTTATCTGTTCCTTCTGTTCTGTTCCTTTATGTACAGAGATCTGTTTCAATTTGTTTCATAATACTTAGGAACTGTGGTATTGCTTCAAGTTGCCTTCTTATCTTTTTCTTTCTGTATGCAGATTTTCCTCACATGGCGTATTTGGATGGTTAGGATGATCATTTCTCATGATGGAAGGGATCGTGCATTAGCGGAAAACTAGCACTCGCTAGTGATATTTAGTTCGAACCGCGAAATCAAACAAAGGGATAGGGCACGTTACCGCAGGTTTTTTGGAAAATTTAAACCGATAGACTAGTTGATTGGGTGACGAGAATGATATCACACGAGTGCAGAAGATTTTGGGCTAACGGCATTCTCCCACGGAGATAAAAGGGGTATTAGGGGTAATCACAAGCCGCCAGAACAATATTTAAAATCCAAGGCATTGGATGGATAGCTTCTATTATCTCTAAGAATTATCCACATAGGTTTTAGTTGGGATTACCTTCACAACGCCGCCCCAAAGGCTTTTTTTTGGTGTGCCAAAGGGAAGCTTTTCAGATTGGCATCCCACTTGAATTAACTGGCAGAGCAGAAATGACGTCTAGATTCCCAAAATGAGAGGGGAAAGGGAGGAGAAGCAGTAGGAACAGTGTATGAAATTATCCTCGCATACAGGCGCCAAACCCCTTGCTGATATCAATATGGAAAAACCCCAGATTTTGGTGTGCAACGCCGTTTGTCCCACTACTCACTTCACCCGAATGATAAGGTGGCGAGAACTGCCCCTGGGTTAGCACTGTTAGTAAAATTACACCCAAAAAAACCAAACAGCTTACCGGCGCTGTTGTTCTAGTTACTCACTGGTTGCGTGCTGAATTGGATTCCTCAGGCCCGTTTTTTTCCATTTTGTTTCTGGTTCAATAGGATCACTGAGGTATGATACAGTATAATAAAGGTAAGTTCTTGTTACCCTATCATTCTCGGCAACCTATCAACTAACCTATGATACTACTGATGGATCAGCTAATAACCCATCCCTTGGAGCGTACCTGGGTAGTCAACCCATACCACTTCGGCCCACGAAATCCGCATACCACAAACGCACTACGCACTTCCCCCAAGCTTGCCACATCTCAGCCCAATCCAGGACTCCAAATCATTCACTCATAAATTAGCATCCCGTGTTCCCCACCCAGCTGCCATGGCGCAACCGGACAAATTACCATTTGCCCATACACCCATCCATCTATTTTATAGCCTAACGCGCAGACCAGCATACCAGTAGACCAAGCACGGTGGTGGCGGGTGATTCGCCACGACACCTGCTAAACACCAGTAAAACTTCAGTGCTCGAGGATAACAGCTGAAGCACGAACACATCCCCTACTGATCTTAACCATCCAAGAACGGGCAATCTACCCGAGTGTATCAGTCGCTTAGCTGTCATACAATCACCTGATACATTAACCTACTCGAGTACAGTACTCCACGGGGGTTCGGGCACCGGATTTACTTTCTCCTATAAAGTGTAAAAGTGGAAACCTCGGCATCTTTTTGCCTTCCCCCAATACCACCGATATAGGCCTAGGGCTGATCTACGATACAGTAGAGATGGGCGGGCGGACATGCACAGAGCCGAATCGGACACAATACGAGTAGAGGGGTTTGACTCTTGCTGTTTGATGCACGTTTTTTTTTCTACGTCGGAAACTTCCGAGATAGAGTTTAACTTATCAGCCTCAGAGCTCCTTACCCGAAGGACTGCACCTGGATAGATAATCGCAGTTATTAACTGCTTTGGCTCAAGATCTCGTTGATTGGGTAGAAATATGTCCTAATAAGGGAGGGGTTTTGAAGCCACATCCCTTTTGGCAGGTCCAAAGTTTTCAACAAAAATTCAGTTCAACGGCCCGAGTGAATTCACAAATCCCGGCGCAATAGGCCGGTCCCTTAATTTAATTGCCCCATTTGCAAAACGACCGTACGATAGCCTATCATATCTACCAGTAACATAACGTAAACCACTGATATCCAGCATCCAGCATCCAGAACCCGTTCGTTCTCCCTCAACTTGGCAAGTTCTCAGCAAGTGTTCAGCATGTCCGTCAAAGCTGATCTCTCGGCGGACTTTACAGAGAGTTCCCATACATATTTGACCTTGACCCACATACAGGCATATGTGCAGTAGTACGAGGCTGCGGTTGGATAATATCAGCTTTTGTTTATCGGGGAGAGGGGTTGAAGGGAAAATTACTCAGAGGTGGCTTCCATGCATCAGGGGATTTATCCCCCTTTGCTTGGTTAACGTTGTCGGTCACGGCGATGAGCTGGGGGTTCGTTAGGTCGTTGGCGAATTCTTGGCGTTTGGAGGTGGTCTTGGAGATGATTAGGATTAGTACTTTGGTAAGTAGGAGATAGTGTAGGTGGGAATGAGAGCTGAAAGGATTATTCCCTCACCCAGGTATTCGCTCCGGATTTCCAGGCATCGGAAAGAGCGACGACGTGATCAATGTCCTGCATGGTAATTTGGTTGGTTGGTTAATGATAGATAAGATAGGAGATGTGATGGTTCCGCTGGGACATACAAGATCCGAGGCAGCAGTCCAAGTTGCGCCGTCATAAGTGCTGTACCAACTCCCACTTGTCGCCGAGCAGTCGCTCGCCTGGACCACATTGGTTCCGTCGCGCTTCAGGACGGTCTCGCGAGTGCTGAAAGCGGGATATGCTTAGTTGGAGTTAATTCGGGACGGCATTCGAACTCACTTGCAAGTACCGCTGATTGTAATCCAGTGCGGGAACAAATTCCTATCGTATCCCGATGGGTCCGAAGTTCTGGTGGTAAGAGACGCAAGCATAGTTATTGCACTCGCTCCGCTAGGAATATTCGGGGGAGTCCTCTTTACGAGGTCGTTAAGCGGAATCGCCGCAGCGGCCGAAACAAAGAGAGCAATGGCTGAAAGCTTCATTTTGGTGTTTTCCTTGTGAAAAAGCGAGTGATATTGAACCCGGCACCGTGGATGAGAGAGTAAGGAAGGGTTCGAGAGGGGGTCATGTCCAGTCTTTATACTTTTTCCCCCTCATGACAGATCCCGATGAATAGCCGTAGCTGAAATACGATATCCCCATGTAAGGTGACGGATTGGGTATCATTCAAAGAGCATGAGGTTCCACCGAGTCGCGCACTGGTGGCAAGATTCACGGACCTGAAGACTTTCAGCTTCCGGAGATCACCTCTTCTCATACAAACAGTCGTGAAGCTTTCGGCAATCCTCATTCGTTATTGTAAAGTTCCAACGGTCCTTCCTAATCTGTGTCACTTTAGAACCCCTTGCAACTGAATAATTAAGTTACAGGGGATCTGAAGCCGCCATGCATGACATCTGCTAAAGACCGCGGTCACTCTGCTAATCGATAGGCTCTCGTCTTATCTTGATGGCGGCGGCCTTTCCGTTTTTGTACATTAGGGAGGCAGATGTGTATGTACTAGTACTCGAGTACAAGTAGGGGAACCCAACAAGGGAAGGTTCCTTATTTTACGCTTGGACCCGGAACGTGACTTGTGGATGGCGGGGTGGGGCCGTTCGCACTTCCTCGGTATGACGTTGAGGTACAATTTTGTTTTGATACGCTTGGAGAGGATCGCCTGATGTATTCACTAAATTACCGGTAGTACTCGAGTAGGTCAGTTAAGCTCCCTATCCAACCCACCACACCCCCACCCTCTCTGCTACCACAGTCGGATACCAGCGCTCGGTTGTCATAACGTCAAGTTTAGAATTGTTGGATTGCGCTTAGCCTTGGGCTTTTCCGCCTGCATATTCGATTTGGTGCATGACCACCCCGGGATCTAGTCGATCAGGAGGGTACAAGTATTCCTCTGATTTACTAATTAGGGAAGCGTTCTACCTATTTCTATCCCTGTGCTTGTGGGGTGGCTTGGAAATATTCGTGATTTGGCTTGCCTGAATTCTCGTTTTTCGGAGGGAGCTTGGGACCCACGTGGTGTAGGAATGGTACTCGTACATTATTGTTTTTGTGCGGGGGCGGCGGCGAGTTCCGTCCAATTCACCTCGCCGTGAAAAAATGTGGGGACAAGATACATATCAGAATAATTGTTGTGAATCATATCGAAAAAAAATAATGCCATGGGCTTGTTGAAATTCAAGTGTGGGGGTGCAGCAGTGTAACAAGGCGTCCGATAATTCGCAACACTACAAAATTACTGGCTTGGTTAATATATCTACTGGACCAATTTCCTTTCATAATCGGGCTGTAGTGATACCCATCCCAGGCTTTTGATGGAGAACTATCGGCAATCTACGAGCATAGATTAATTATGGGGAGTTCCGAAGCCTCAACCCCTTTCAACTCAAATATCTCCCCTAGGGTTCGGAAGTTCTCCCTCATTTGGCTGCAAGCGCGGTGAGGGTAGAACCCAACAACGGGTGTGGGACTAAAAAGCGGGGATCATGACTTAGGGCCTGTTTGGCAACGACCGTTCCATTCCGTTCGCCCATACAAATTGCCTTATGGTTCCGTTCGCGAACCGCATTTTGTATGTACGAACGGAACGGAGCCGCCGTTGCCAAACAGGCCCTTACACGTATTCATCACTCTTGAATCTGGTTTGTGGATGGTTAGACTATCAGAATTGGTTGGTATCAGAAAAATCACATCTCTGTTATGGCGCATACCAAGAGCTAAGTTCTCTCTTGGTGGAGAGCCACCTGAGAAGAGGGTTATTGGATCCAGGGCTGGGTCTCATTGGCTGCAGCACAAAGGTGATCTGAGTCTTCTATGATATGAATGGTACTTGTATAGGTACCTAGCTGAAGTGGAGTGACAACTACCGCATTAACTGGCGAGGACCGCCTGGCGCTAGGAGGTTGATTTAGAGCACAGCTAAGAGTGATTAATTTTAGCGAGATGAAGAAATTGGTTTCATAACAATGGCGTAAGCAATTGAGATGCTCAAAATGAACCTCACTCTGAATGTTATTCACATTAGCAGAGGTTTTAGGAGAACCGGAGAAGCTTAACACAAAGCCTAGGTGAGCCTGATGAGTATTTTGATAGGGTTTAAAACTAATCAAGAGTTAGACATACTATCAACCACAGAAAATGTCGACGGAGGATGGTGGGAGAGAAGTAGCAGTACGTTCCAGCCATCGACCGGGGACCACCTCTGCACCAATTATCCAAAAGCCAAGAAAGGTACACCAGCCCAGAAAAGAGATCCACCGATCGTATACACGCGAGTTTAAGCTAGAAGTACTCTCCTATTGGATACACCACAAGATCGCTATAGGGCCAACCACTCTT